TAGTCTAGTCTATAGTCTAGTCTATAGTCTAGTCTATAGTCTAGTCTATAGTCTAGTCTATAGTCTAGTCTATAGTCTAGTCTAGTCTAGTCTATAGTCTAGTCTATAGTCTAGTCTAGTCTATAGTCTAGTCTATAGTCTAGTCTATAGTCTAGTCTATAGTCTAGTCTATAGTCTAGTCTATAGTCTAGTCTATAGTCTAGTCTATAGTCTAGTCTATAGTCTAGTCTATAGTCTAGTCTATAGTCTAGTCTAGTCTAGTCTATAGTCTAGTCTATAGTCTAGTCTATAGTCTAGTCTATAGTCTAGTCTAGTCTATAGTCTAGTCTATAGTCTAGTCTATAGTCTAGTCTATAGTCTAGTCTATAGTCTAGTCTATAGTCTAGTCTATAGTCTAGTCTATAGTCTAGTCTATAGTCTAGTCTAGTCTATAGTCTAGTCTATAGTCTAGTTTATAGTCTAGTCTATAGTCTAGTCTATAGTCTAGTCTATAGTCTAGTCTATAGTCTAGTCTATAGTCTAGTCTATAGTCTAGTCTATAGTCTAGTCTAAAGTCTAGTCTATATTCTTGTCTATAGTCTAGTCTATAGGTTAGTCTATTCCATAGTGCATTCTATAGTCTGGGCCTATACTTATTCTATGAACTATAGCCTCTCCTAGAGATAGAGCCTAGGCCTTAGTGTTTAATGAAAGCTCTACTTACCTTATTGTTTTAATATTAACCCTTTTAAATAAAACATTCTTTCGCTTTTCATTTAAATTTTTGGAAGTCATTTATTAGATTTCATTTTTTTTCAGATTTTTCAATATTTTCAATATATATATATTTATTTTTTCTGAGGGTAAAATAAAAAGAGAAAATTAAATAAATTGCATAAAAAAGCTACAAATTTGTTTTAATATTTATAAGCTTTTTATCATATTATTTGCAAACATTAAGTTTGTAATAATTTATGTTCGTTTTTATTCTTTCTTTAAATATATTTAATATGAACATAATTTGTAAGACTTAAATGCAGTTTATTATTGTAATAAGTTGTTGTTGTTGTTTTTTTTTGCAGTTTTAAAATATACATTAAGAGAATTTATTATAATAAATTCACCTTTTTTGAAATATTATTTATACACTTAATAAGGGGAGGTTGGGGTTAAGTTTTTAATTATTTTTCTTTTGTGTATATAGTTGTAAATTTTATTTATTTACCTTGACAAAATAATATTTGTACAAAATTTTATTTTATTTTTGTTTTTGTTAGAATATTAACATTTAATTGGTTTTTTATTTGTTTTATTAAAAAAGCTCGTAAAAGGCATTTGTTTTGTTAGGCAAATTATATTTTTATTTTAATTTGAAAAAAAAAAAAAAAAAAATTAAAATCAAATTAATTTGCAATTAAATAAAAAAATTAACATTTATTTATAGTTTTTTTTTATTAATATGATTTTTATTTATAAATGTTTATGGGTTTTTGTTTAAGTTTTGTATATAATGTTTTTTTGTGGTGGAAAAGGTTTGTTTTTTTTTTATAATAATATTTAACTTACTTTACTAATAAATACATTTACTTAAATTTAATTTTAACTATGCTAATGTTTTGCTTATATTAAAAATAATTTATACAGGTTTGTTGTTGTTGTTTTTTTATAAAAAAAAAAATGTTTTCATTCGAATAATTATTTAAATTATAAATTTGTTTAAATTATAATTTTATAAAACATTCGGCTTAAGCCGAATTTTAGCATACACTGCAGCTGTAAGAAATGACTTTTTTAATAAAAATTTTGTTGAATTTTTAAACTTTTTAGGGAATTTTAAAAAAATTTTGCTTATTTTCTCTTCATCAGCTTGTAATTTCTAAAAAAAGCTTCGTTTCGCTTAGATTTTCTCTTAAACATCAGATGACTCTTTTGCTTAAGTGTTAAAAGTTTGAGAGTCATTGTATGTAAATGTTTGTTGTTTGTATAGTCTAGTATATTGGCTAAACTGTGGTCTGATCTATTGACTAGACAAGGGTTAGACTATAGTCTACTCTATTGACTGGTCTATAGTCAAGTCTATTGACTAGACTATGGTCTAGTATATTGGCTAGGCTATAGTTAAGTCTATGGTCTTCTATTGACTAGTCTATCGTACACTTAGTCTATTGACTGGACTATCGTCTAGTCTTTTGACTAAACTATCCTCTAGTCGATTGACTAGACTGTCGTCTGGTCGATTGACTAGACTGTCGTCCAGTCTATTGACTAGACCATCGTCCAGTGTATTGACTAGACTATCGTCCAGTCTATTGACTAGACTGTCGTCTAGTCTATTGACTAGACTATCATCTAGTCTATTGACTAGACTACCGTCTACCGTCTATTGACTAGAATGTCGTCTGGTCTATTGCCTAGACAATCGTCTAGTCTACTGACTAGACTATTGTTTAGTCTATTGACTAGACTGTCGTGTAGTCTATTGACTAGATTGTCGTGTAGTCTATTGACTAGACTATCGTCTAGTCTATTGACTATCGCCTAGGCTATTGACTATACTGTCGTCTAGTCTATTGACTAGACTATCGTCTAGTCTATTGACTAGACTATCGTCTAGTCTATTGACTATCGCCTTATCTAGACTATTGTCTAGTCTATCGTCTAGACTATTGTCTAGACTATCGTCTAGACTATCGTCTAGACTATTGTCTAGACTATCGTCTAGTCTATTGTCTAGACTATGGTCTAGTCTTTTGGCTAGATAATGTTCCAGTCTATTGACAAGACTATCGTCTAGCCTATTAACAAGACTATCATCTAGTCTATTGACCAGTCAATCGTGTCCATTGACTGGTCTATGGTCTGGCTATTGTCTAGTCTAAGGTCTAGACAATGGTCTATTCAATTGACTAGAGTATAATCTAGTCTATTGATTAGACTATGATCTAGTCTATTGTCTAGACTATGGTGTAGTCTATTGACTAGAGTATAATCTAGTCTATTGACTAGAGTATAATCTAGTCTATTGACTAGACTATGGTCTAGTCTATTGACTAGACTATGGTCTAGTCTATTGACTAGACTATGGTCTGTCTATTGACTAGACTATGGTCTAGTCTATTGACTAGACTATGATCTAGTCTATTGACAAGACTATCCTCTAGTCTATTGACAAGACTGTTATCTAGTCTATTGACAAGACTATAGTCTAGTCTATTGACAAGACTATCGTCTAGTCTATTCGCTAGGCTATAGTCTAGTCTATTCGCTTGACTATAGTCTAGTCTATGGTCTTCTCTATTGATAAAACTATTGTCTAGTCTTTTGACTAGTCTATGGTCTAGACTATAATCTTTTCTATTGACTATTCTATTAACTAGACTATAATCTAGTCTATTGTTTAGAGTATGGTCTAGTGACAAAACTATCGTCTTGTCTATTGACTAGATTATCGTCTAGTCCATTGTCCAAACTATGGTCTAGTCTATTGTCAGGTCTAAGGTCTAGTCTGTTGACTAGACTACGTTTTGGTGTATTGACTAGACTATGGTCTAGTTTATTAGCTAGACTGTGCTGTAGTTTATTATCTGGTTTATGGTCTAGTCTATTGTCTAGACTATGGTCTAGTCTATTAAGTCTGGTCTGTTTGTTTAGGGTTTTTTTACCTTGCAGTGTATTTTTTTCTGTGGGGATTTCTTGGGTTTTTTATGTAAAATTTTTTTTAATATTTATTTTCTTACATTTTTACTTAATTTGGCCTCAATTCTAGTTTGATTTGTTTTTTCTTTAAATAAATTTCTAAACTTAATAAGTCTTTTAATAAAATTTCTTAAAAATTGTATGAAAGTTTTTAAAATTTCTTTTAAGACTTATTAAGTTTAAAGGGGATTTTAGTTTGTTGAATTTTAAACATAAATATTGAGCATTGTTACGCTATAAAGACTAAGAGTGGCTTTTTAAGAAACAAAATTTTTTTAAAAATTTTTAATGAAATGCAGCCACTGCTTTACTAGCTTTTGATTTTATTTTATTTTAATTTTTTTTATAATTTTTTCTTATGTATTTTTTATATTTCTTCAATTTATTTGTTTTTATTTCATTTATTTAAATTTCTTTTTTTTTAATTATACTTATTAGCTGAAAATTTTATTCACATAAGCCACAATTTACACTTAAATTTAATATTATATTTATATAAAAAAAAATTAATTAATTTGTTAAGTAAATTATAAAAAAAATAATAATATTTAGTCTTGTCAAATTTGTCATGTTAAGTACCAATTTTATAAAAATAAAATCCATTTAAAAAAATTTTTTATTCATAGAAAATTATAAATTTTAAGTAAATTTTTGTTAAACTCTCTCTATCTCTCTATGCTGAAGAGTTTATTGTGACATTACAGTTTGAAAATCACTGTGTGTTTGTTTACTCTATTATGCTTTGGTGTGTCAAACACTACAGTTTGAAAAGCATTGTATGTGTTTAATTTTGCTTTTTTGAGAGAGTTTTTGCTTTACAGTTTGAAAACTATTATTACATCAATTCAATTAAACATTTTAATGAATATTTTAATTGATTTTTTATACATAAAACTTGTTTTTAACCAAATGTGTTTAACCCGTTTAAATTTGAACTTTTTTTCTTTAGCAAAAAGAGTATTTATAAGAAATGTCATGGTTTGTTAATAAAATGTTTTTGAAAAATATTATAAAATTAAAGCAAATCTTAAGCTTAATAATAAATTTAAACTTAAATAAATGGCATGTTATTTATAAATATAATTTGAATTTAAAAACTAAACGAAAAGAAAAATTAAGGCAATTTCTTTTTAAAACTAAAATCATAAAAAATATTTGTTCCATACTAAACACCAGTTCTTCTTCAAAATTTTAATTTCAGTTTGTACATTTTTTAAGTTTTAAAAGCTGGTGTTGTTAATACTTTATTTAAACTTATAAACTTTAACTAATGAGGTTTTAAACTTAAAATAAAACTTAAAAAATAATATTTCTTCATTTCGTACATTACTATTTTCTTTTCATTTTATATATATATATAAATATTTTTCTTTACTCTATATAAATTTAATACTTTATATAAAGTTAATATTTATTTTATAATCCAAGCATATGTATTCCCAAAATTTGAAGTAAAATCTTTTTTTAATTATAAAAGATTTTACTAAATTATTTCATTATATTTTTATATAACTCCTTCTCTATAAGTTGTAAATTTTTGTTACTGTTCTTCTTGGCAATTTATACTGCTGAATTTTTGCCTATTATTTCACCACTTCGTGAGTGTACAAATTTACCATCAAATTCCACTGTGGAATTTTGTTTCATACTTCCGGTGGGTGTTTGTAAAGGCTGTTTTTCATCTCTGTTGGAAAAAGATTAAGAAAATAACGGAAATTTATGAAAAATTTTGTAAAAGTTTCTTTATATTGTAATAATATTAAACTAATTTCTACGAATATATTAAATTTACAGTTAAAACCAGACTATAGACTAAACTATAGACAAGTCTCTAGAATAGACTATAGGATAGACTATGACTATACTTTAGAATAGACTGTAGACTAGAATAGACCAGACTATAGACTAGAGCTGAACTAGAATTTAACTAGAACAGAACTAGAACAGAACTAGAACAGAACTAGAATAGAACTAGAACTAGAACAGAACTAGAACAGAACTAGAACAGAACTAGAACAGAACTAGAACAGAACTAGAACAGAACTAGAACAGAACTAGAACAGAACTAGAACAGAACTAGAACAGAACTAGAACAGAACTAGAACAGAACTAGAACACAACTACAACACAACTAGGAACAGAACTAGAACAGAACTAGAACAGAACTAGAACAGAACTAGAACAGAACTAAAACAGAACTAGAACAGAACTAAAACAGAACTAGAACAGAACTAGACAGAACTAGAACAGAACTAGAACAGAACTAGAACAGAACTAGAACAGAACTAGAAACAGAACTAGAACAGAACTAGAACAGAACTCAGAACAGAACTAGAACAGAACTAGAACAGAACTAGAACAGAACTAGAACAGAACTAGAACAGAACTAGAACAGAACTAGAACAGAACTAGAACAGAACTAGAACAGAATAGAACAGAACTAGAACAGAACTAGAACAGAACTAGAACAGAACTAGAACAGAACTAGAACAGAACTAGAAACAGAACTAGAACAGAACTAGAACAGAACTAGAACAGAACTAGAACAGAACTAGAACAGAACTAGAACAGTACTAGAACAGAACTAGAACAGAACTAGAACAGAACTAGAACAGAATTAGAACAGAACTAGAACAGAACTAGAACAGAACTAGAACAGAACTAGAACAGAACTAGAACAGAACTAGGACAGAACTAGAACAGAACTAGAACAGAACTAGAACAGAACTAGAACAGAACTAGAACAGAACTAGAACAGAACTAGAACAGAACTAGAACAGAACTAGAGCAGAACTAGAGCAGAACTAGAACAGAACTAGAACAGAACTAGAACAGAACTAGAACAGAACTAGAACAGAACTAGAACAGAACTAGAACAGAACTACAACAGAACAGAACTAGAACCGAACTAGAACAGAACTAGAACAGAACTAGAACAGAACTAGAACAGAACTAGAACTGAACTAGAACTGAACTAGAACTGAACTAGAACTGAACTAGAACTGAACTAGAACTGAACTAGAACTGAACTAGAACTGAACTAGAACTGAACTAGAACAGAACTAGAACAGAACTAGAACAGAACTAGAACAGAACTAGAACAGAACTAGAACAGAACTAGAACAGAACTAGAACAGAACTAGAACAGAACTAGAACAGAACTAGAACAGAACTAGAACAGAACTAGAACAGAACTAGAACAGAACTAGAACAGAACTAGAACAGAACTAGAACAGAACTAGAACAGAACTAGAACAGAACTAGAACAGAACTAGAACAGAACTAGAACAGAACTAGAACAGAACTAGAACAGAACTAGAACAGAACTAGAACAGAACTAGAACAGAACTAGAACAGAACTAGAACTGAACTAGAACTGAACTAGAACTAGAACTGAACTAGAACAGAACTAGAAATATTGACCTTTGACCTGTAAATTTAATATATTTTCTGCAAAATTTTACATGCTTTGTTTTTAATAAAGTTAGTATTTTAAGCTCAACTAAACTAAATTTACTTATAAACTTAATAACTAGTATAATATTATAAAAGGATTAATATTAATTAAGGGGTTAATTGATAAATATTTCGATAAATTAATAATGATTATGACATGATTAATTAGTGGATTAGTAATTAATTTAGTAGATTAGTAGTATAGTAGTAGTAGAGTTAGCATTGTTTAAGTATTTACGTACGATGGTGATGTCATTGGTGATCCACCTAATTTAACGGGAGGTGGTAAAGGTAACGGTGATGGTGGTGGCTCCTTAACCAGCTGGCCACTGCAATAAGGTAGCGGGAAACGCCAACCATAAAGACTGCTTGGTTAAATTTGTGATATTTTTTTTTGGATTTGTTTGTGAAGGGTATAAATGATTTTTTTTTGATATTTGTACGATAAAATGAATTTTGAAATGCGGGTTAGGAAAGGTTAGAAATTAAAATTTTGGGGCTATATGAACTATATATGAATATGAATGTTAAGAACTAAGGTTTTAATAAAAAAAAGGGAAAACTAAGGGGTGTTATAAAGAAACTAAACTAAAACTAAACTTTTTTTAAAAATAAGAAATTAGTTTAGGGGTAGGAGGGTTAAGTTTTAAACACAAATCATTTAATATTGCACTAGTCGTTTTAAGATAACTTAAGAATTTGAAAAAAAAAAAATAAACTTAAAAATTTTAAACCAATGTTAATGAATTACGATTGTTTAGAAACGATTTGGGCCTTAGGAAAACCCAATGATAATTTAAATCCTGATTATGGGCTTTCACTTTGGTTAATTTAACACTTTTATTAAAAAAGACAAAATATAAAAAAATAAAAGAATTTTTTAAAAATTTTTAATATTTTAGTGCAATATTAATATGATCTTAAATATTAGTCTAAAAAAAATTCTTTACTAAAATCATTAAAAGTTCTAACAAAAAATCCAAATAATTAAAAAAATTTTTCTAAAAATTTGTTTAAGCTTACCTTCCCAGTTTAGCTTCCTCATCGATTTCCGAGGGTGATCTTTTGGTGCGCCTACACATACTGGCCATTACACCCATATTAATGGTAACACAGCATAATAAGTCCACTATGAAAAGTAACAGCAAAACTCCGCCTACTGCTATGCCTACTATGGAGGCGGAGGATAGCACTTGTCTTTCAGCAACTTGTATAACATCGATACCTGGTTTAAAGGAAAAAAATAGGTTTCAAATTGTTAATGCTTTTCAAATTTTAATCAATTTTAATGTTTAGCTATTTCTTAGAAAATTTTCTTTGTAATTTAGGTTGTGGGGATAATTTATAACTTTTAACTTGTGTCTAATATTCTAAGTTTTAACTTTCTCGTTAAGGGTTATTTTTTATACATTATGCTTTTGATTGGCTTATTTTAGTTAAAATTGTATTTTTTTTAAATTATTTTAAAAAGAAAATTTCATGAAAAAAGTTTTAATATAAATTAAACGACATCGTTCAATTAAGTTCCGTTCAAGCAAACAATTCCTACAAATGTTAAGAGCCCTATAACTCCACATCTCAAAATTCTCTTATATTCTTATAAATATTGGAACAAACTTAAGCTTTTCTAATGCTCTCTCTATAGCTGAGAGTATACTCGATTCTGCAGAATGTCGCAAACTTGGTATTTTTAGTATAACTTCCTACCCAACTCGATGTTAAGTATTTCTAATGCTTTCTCTATAGCTGAGAGTGCACTCGATTCTCTAGACTAGTATCAAACTTGGAATCCTCGACATAAGTTCTTAAACTTCCTACACAACTCACTATTAAATCTTTCTAATGCTCTCTCCATAGTTGAGAGTACACTTGATTCTCCAGACTCTCTTAAACTTGGAATCTTCAGTATAACTTCCTACACAACTCGATATTAAATTTTTTAATGCTATCTCTATAGCTGAGAGTATACTTATCCAGATTCTCTCAAACTTGGAATCCTCAGTATAACATCCAACACAACTCGATATTAAGTCTTTATAATGCTCTCTCTATAGCTGAGAGTACATTCGATTCTCCATACTCTGTCAAACTTGGAATCCTTCGTATAACTTTCTACACTTCCTACACAACTCGATATTAATACTTTCTTTGCTCTCTCTATAGCTGCGAGTACACTCGATTCTCCAGACTCTATCAAACTTGGATTCCACATTATAACTTCCTACACAATATTCTTCTCTATACTAGACTATAGGCAAAATTTAGAGTAGATCTGTCAAGAGAGAACATGATCATGTAATGGTTATGATATAAATTTCTTAATTATAGTGAAGATATGTAATGCTCTCTAATGGATTTCAAAAGTTTCTTAAGATTTTCTTCTTTTGATCAAGGTTCCTATAGAATAGATCTTCCAAGAGAGCACATGATCTAGTAAACTTTGTCAATTTCAAGAAAATACACGGAGAGGGAAAGTTTAATATTCCAATTATGTATACCACAAGATCATTTTATCCATTTTCTTTTTAAGACTTCAAAGATCTTAAATTTTAGGAGTAAAATATTAATCGATCTTTATTCGAAGGCATTAGTTTATATCCTCAACGGTAGTTTATATCGATCAAGTTCTTGATCGTTCTATGGAGTGTCCCAAGATCTTGTGCAAATGATTTCTATGATCTTTAGTTTCAAGAGAGAGATCTGCATATTTTCAGAGATCATTTGAAGTAAAGATCTTTGAATGCAGAGAATCTGATCTTGTGTAAATGCTACTAACGATCTTCAGTTTCAGGAGGATGATCTGCTTATTTTGGAAGATCATTTGGAGTAAAGACCTTCCAATGAAGAGAATTCGATGTGGAGTAAATGGTTTTTATGATCTGTAATTTCAGGAAAGTGATCAGTGATCTTTAATCATGTTCATACGAATTATAGATTCTAGGAGAAAGAGAAGCAGTTTCATTTCTTTGTGGAACTAAGACAAAAAGAATTGCTTTCATAAGACACTATTACTGATCAAGTTATTATGCTCATTAACCTTTAAACTATAACAAGTTTTGAATGTTTTCTATAGAAGGGAAAATTTCAAGAATATGATGATCAATGATCTTTGAAAGTAATAAGTTGATTCTAAAAGTTTCACTTTGTCTTAAACATTTCAAGAATTTGCTGATCACCGATCCATAGATCTTTGATTGATCAGTGATCTATAATCTTTCAAGATGATGAGCTGATTCTAAAAGTGGTTAAAAGTATTAAGCTTTCTCTTAAGATTGATTACGACATGTCTAAAAACGAGTTTCTTCGAAAAGTTTATGTTTTTGATAATACTGAGAGTATTTTGAGATCGTTAGTTTCTAAAGGTGTTACTTTTTGCTTAAGAGTTATGAAAGAAAATATAATTTGTCTTAAACATTTCAAGAATTTTGGTGATCAGCGATCCATAGATCTTTGATTGATCAGTAATCTATGATCTTTGAAGATGTTGAGTTAATTCTAAAAGTGGTTAAAAGTGTTGAGCTCTCTCTTAAGATTGATTATGATATTTCTGAAAATGAGTTTCTTCTCTTTATGATCTTCTATTGATCGTGTGATCTTTAATGTTTAGAAGAATTTAGATGATCAAAAAAGAACAATTTCGGATACCAGAGTTGATCGCTAGATATTTTCGCCCATTGGTTGCATTTCAAAGTTATTTGGAAGTGGCTCTTCGAAAAGTTTATGTTTTTGATATGTTGAGAGTATTTTGAGATCGTTAGTTTCAAGAATATGATGATCAGTGATCTATGAAAGTAATGAATTGATTCTAAAAGTGTTTATAAGGGTTTGCAGGATATAAAGAGTTAAAGTCAAAGTAAATTTAAATTTGTCCTAAAAATTTCAAGAATGAGGATCAGTGATCTTTGGATCTTTGATTGATCATTGATCTATAATCTTTGAAGTTTGAGTTGATTCTAAAAGTGTTTAAACGGTTTACTTTTTGTTTGATCACAGTTATCAAAGGAAATTCAAATTTGTCTTAAAAGAATCAGTATAAACTGATCAGTGATCTATGATTTTTGATAATATTGAGTGGTTTCAAAAGGTGCTTAAAAGGGCAACTTTTTGGTGGTTCTAAAAAGAATGCTAAATAAATATAAAGTTAACATAAAAAAACTTTTCTAATTGTGGTTTAAAAACTCAGAACTCTGCTATTGTCAGCTAAACTTAAGTATCATTTCAATGATCTTCTTGTGAGAAATTTGAGAGACTTCTTAAATATTTAAAATTTACATTTAATTTATAAAAAATATTTAAACTTTTTTTCATGAAATTTTCTTTTCATTTTCATTTTGGCTTAAATGACTAAACTTATTGTCTAAAAAAAGCATTAACCAAATATTAATGATTTGCAATAAAGTGATAATTGTTTGATATTTATTTTTTAAATCATTTTTTTAAGATTTTCACTTTTTTTACATTTTTGTGTGTGTATGGATTTTTTAATTTTCGTTATGGTTTTTGAAAATAATTCTCAAAAATAATTTACAAATTAAAGAAACTAAATTCAAACTAAATTTGTTAAAAGAAAATTTTAATAAAAATTAAAAAAAATAAAAAATAAATATAAAAAAGCTTTTATAACTAAATTTACCAATTTGCATAAAAAATTGTTTTCGTTGACAGCAAACAAATTAAAGCAACATGCGTTAGAGAAAAGGAAAAATTTTTTAAAGATTTTTTTTAAATAATAAGAAATAAAAGGACAATACAAACAACCAATGCAAGAAATTTTAAGAAAAATAAAAGGGGGAAAGAGTAGAAAAATTATATACAAATATTAACACAGGCTGGTTTTTAAAAGATTGGTGGCTTATAGTAAAAGCTTTCTAAATGAAAAGTATCAAAATAAATAAATATTTACAGCATGGAAGTTTTTTTTACAATTTGGGGGAAAGAGGGCTAGTGAGGGGATTTTAGAAAACTAATAATATATGTGTTTTAGTTATTAGTTTATTTATGTGTGTTACTAAATTGTTAGTTTTTATATAACTTTAAGGGTTTTATAATTATATTACCTTTAGTTTCGTTTTAACAGCAATTTTCTTTAACAAAATATTGTCACAATTACCGCTAAAATTTGTTGTTGTTGTTTTTTTTTTTAAAGAGGGGAAGATAATATTTTTTATATAAACATTTTTCTAGTTTTTATAAATAAGTATAAAAAGTTTTCATAATTTTTTTTAAATAAATATTAAAGATTTTTTAAATATTTTTAATAATTTTTTAAAATTTTTCAGAAAATTTTCTTATTTTTAGAAATTTTTTAATAAATTAATATAATTTTTTAAAAATAATATTAAATTTCATTAATTCTTTTTACAAAATATTCAAAATTTTCTTGGAATTTAAACACTTTTTTGCAAAAATTTTTTCTCTCAGTGTTTAAAATCCTTTAAAATGTTTCAAAATTATGCATTTACTACTAGTTATTAGAATTCTAACACAGTTTCCTCTCAACAGTTTGAAAACCTTTGTCTAGGTGTTCTGCTAACGTTAGTTTTGTCAATTCCTCACTTTCTCTTTCTCAAGGAATTGTCATTCTCTCTCATAGAAATTGTTAACATTTTGAATACCTTTGTCTTAGTATTTAGTCTTTCTTACTGCCTTAATAGGAAATATTAACAGTTTGTAAGCCTTTGTCTTAAAGTTTTGTTCACGTTTGTGTTGTTTTCCTTAGTCTCGCTCTCTTTACTGTTTGTGTTAACGTTTGTGTTTTATCTTTATTGTTTGCTGTTCCTTCTCTGTCTCTCTTTTGTATAGCTGCTAGTAGTTGTGTCTTAACAGGAAGTGTTTACAGTTTGTAAGCCTTTATCTTGAAGTTTTGTTCACGTTTGTGTTGTTTTCCTTACTCTCACTCTATTTACTGTTTGTGCTAACGTTTGTGTTTTATCTGTATCGCTGCTTGTAGTTGTGTCTTAACAAGAATTGTTTACAGTTTGTAAGCCTTTGTCCTAGAGTTATGTTGAGGTTTGTGTTGTTTTCCTTACTTTCGCCCTCTTAACTGTTTATGTTTGTGTTAACGTTTGTGTTTTATCTCTAATGTTTGTGTCCCTTCTCTTTCTCTCTTTAAATGTTTTTAATTTTAATATTTATTGATGTCACTCGTTTTATTAGTAAGTTTTCGTGTAGATTTCTTCTTTCCGTCTCGCTCTCTTCACTGTTTGCGTTTGTGGTAATGTTTGT